AATAGCTGAGGTGGGAGAACATGAGAGGGGAAGAGAGAAGCATGTAAGATATTCTGAGCCCACAGATACATGTAACGCACAGAACATAGAGTGAAAGAGACAGATGAGCAGCACAAGCACTGCAGGTCTGGTTACATGTAACTTTATCCTCACGTTGGCGGGCCTATACCTCTTTACTATACGCCTAGCAAAAGCATTGCAGTTTGGAGTCATAGACCTACTCAATTTGTGGATGCGTCCAATGTTACATCTAGTTGTTCACATTCTTCTCCCTAATGCCAAACTTTCACACAGTCACAGAGGGAATCCTCTGTATTCCTCACTTGTCCAAATCATGCTGTGGCTACCCTTTCCCACTATTCCCACTGCAGAAGTGACACCAATCTCATATTACCTAAACCACTGGAGGAACACAAAGTCAACATATGTTCAGTTCATAAACCTACAGTTGCCTGGGCTGGGCAATGGAAGTCACCAGAAGGTGCTGAGCCTGACTGATCCACTCTGCCCAATCATGCACTCACAGTTCTTCCGGAATAATGTTATAGCAGCGCTGCACCGCTGAATTTCTCTTTTCAGTGACACGGTGTGAAATCAGCTAATCAGTTAACCCCAACCGATTTAGCGATGTGTGTATGAAAAGATGTTGAAATGTCAAATGTGAAAGTGAAAGTAAAAAGAGCTTTTTGAATTTCGTGTCACGTTTCTGCAAACCGCTCTTTGAGAATCTCAATTATCTCATCAGGATCTAAAGCTGCCTCGCCCCCGGCAGAGGAACAGGGCCCTGCCGGTCTGTCCTGCTCCTAGACGGTAAGGAAGGAGCGTCTTAAGATCTCTCAAAACTTTACCGTCTGGGTTCTGACACCGCGGGTAACCAGCATTTGGTAACACTTTAGATTGCGTAACCTGGGAATTTATAAACACAATAATCAAGTAGTTTAAAATCATTCGTAATTCTGTTTATTGGTCACTAAATATGACTTGCTAATGTGTCAGTGAACGTTACACCATCTGTGGCTTGAGGCAAGATTGACTTTGTGAACACAATTGGTGACTGATCCAGCGCTCAGATCAGTTTTCCAGGTGAACTACGACCTGACACAGGCATGAGGAAGTCAGGCTATAGTGATTACCAAGACCAACATTTCCCAACCACAGATGGTATCATTTACTCATACTTACAAACACATATGCAAATCATACATAGCGACTGATAAACAAACAAATGATTCTAAACTACACATTACTGCGTTCATAAGTTATTTTTTGCATGACCCAAAAGTGTTATCAATAATATCACAGAAAAACGACAGACGCGAGCTCTGCTTGGGGAAAAGCACTACAGTCTAGCCTCGCACCGGGTCACCTGTGGAACCAAACTCACTTCTTCTTGGATCCCCGTCCAATGAACACGCTGCCAGAGAACCTGGAGACCAGGTAGCTGGTGATGCCAAGCCGAGAGGCCAGGACGTATCCAGGGCTGTACTTCACAGAGTACTTCTGCAGAGAGAGAGAAACAGAGAGAGAGAGAGAGTCTATGTGAGATCTACCACTGAACAGAAGGTATAGACTTTTCCCTTATCCAATATGAGGGTTAAAAAGCAACCTGAATTGAATTCAAAGCCTGCTGCAGTTTAAATAAAGCCTGACTCAAGGAAGGAGAACAGGCATAAGCAATTACGTTATTCACATATACGCTAGGCAGCCTATAGATTATACAACTATGCGTTTTGTGTGGTTAAATATATGAAGGGCGAGTGGCTCTTGGTTGGTTCTGGGAAGGGATGTTTTGGGGCAGAACTCACATGCTGGTTCTGTATTAAGGCATCGAGCTGGGGTTCACATGGCACGGTGAAAACAACCCGGATCCGTCCCTCGTTGATGACATCACCAGACTCCTGAACCTGTGGAAATGTCACAATTGAGTGCACTTGTTTTTTTCCATAGTCGTGCCATATTCTCTCTCATGCAAATTATGGGAAATTCTGTGCAGTTTCCTTGATAACCGCATACCAGGGCAGAGGTGTAATTATATAATCAGACAGGAATCTTCACGTTTCTGTACATGTGAGAACTTCCTGTTTTAGCACTGCAGATCCAGGAATCCAACTGTACAACACTTCCTTGTTGCCGCTACAAAATGGCTGCCCCCTGAAAATCATTCAGTTACATCATTCCTTCTCTCTTTCACCAGATCTATATAGCATGAATGGGTGGAAGCAACATGGCAGAGACCTCAGAGTCAATCAGCAGTCGTTCAGATCGGTGAAATGATGAATGTAGGGAGGGAACTAATTCAGAGCATCTGGACAAGGTCAATGTACCTGACCTCTGACCTCTTTGCTCAACTGGGGATGGGGAGGGGGTTGGTCTGGTGTGGTACTCACCTCTCCCATGGCACCGTAATACGGATTCCCCACCATGAAGAGAGTGGTTGCCGGGGGAAACAGCTCCTCCAGTGTTTTGAAGCGGGAGAAGGAACAGCTGAAGGCCTTGATATCCTGCACACATGAAAAGAAAGAGTGGAGAACAGTTTAACCCTCTTTCTTTCCTCCCTTTTTCTTTCAAATAATGGTATTTGAAAAGGTGGAATGTGGGTTTAAATGTACAAGCGGTTCTGTTTTAGTTGTCAAAACCAATGGCGCAAATCACAGAATAGAGTGTCTTTATTTTGCACAACTGCTGCTGTGCTAGTTTATAAAAATGTGGCGCCAATTTCACACAAGAACGCGACAGTTACATTCCAAACTGTTATAAATGTAGTTTTCCAAGACAGGCATATCAGGCAAATCTGGGTGTTCAACATATTACGCATCATTATTCATTATGATTAAGCCTTCTGTTATTGCATGACAAAGAGTTTGAAAAATACAGCCCAGTGTTTTTGGCAAAAAAAAAGGCAAATAGAACTCAGGTGAAGAAAAAGCCCCTCCCACCATTCTGACAGGATCGCCATGGAAATTCCATGGTGACTGATGCCTGGGCTGCTGGTTACCTTGACGACAGTCTGGTAGGCAAAGGGCAGGACCTGCTTGGCCCACTGCTTCTCCAGCTGCACAACGCCGTTGTGCCCCACCACGTACTTCCTCCCCGTTAGGAGCTGCCCATACAGGACCACCGCCGTCTCGTTTATGGTGATCCCCTTCCGCTTGCCGAAACTGCCCAATCAGAGGAGAGGAAGAGGTGGCAGAAGGCCGCTTGGTGATAAAACCGCTCAGATCGGGAGTTAACAGTCATGCAGACGAAGAGAAAGCATGGTTCGTCAGTTACAAAACGAAAGCAGGGAAGATTACTTGATTAGATTATTTGTTTTGGAATGAGATGACTGATTTCAAAGCAAGCTTATGAACTGTGGAGTACTGACTGGGGGACAGAAAATGGGATCAGCAATTTTCGGTTATGGAATTCAACGTGAGGTAAACTGAGGAAAACTACGGGTCTTAATTTCTCCCCATTTTGGACGCATTGACTGTGCCTTGAGACGCCTGCAGTAAGTGAAGCAATTCGCCTCAAGGACAGTGACGGTTTTATGCCCTGCCGGACACACAGATATTTAACAAGAACAGAGTATCAGACGGATGTATTTTTTTTTCCTCTTCCTCTGTTTGTATTTTTTATTTATTTCAGGTGGGCGGTGGGGGTTGGAGAGGGTTATGAATGATGGGGAAGGACAGTTAGAAAGGTATGGGAGCCCGCCCCTGGTCAGGTTTGCACAGTGTGAGTGCCGATCATTGGCTGTGGGGCAAGGGGTAGGTGGAGCTGATTGGATGTGCAGGTGAGAGGGAGGATGCGGGGCGGTGCGTACTGTTCAGTGAGGTTCTGCACCTCCTTCAGCCAGTCCTTCTGCTCCTTGTCGCTCAGGTATGCCACCTTTGTGGGCGGTGGCGTGTTTCCCAGGTACAGCGCCTGCGCCCCTGAGGCCTCCTCCAGACTGAACCTACGAGAGGAGAGAGCACCTCATGATTAGGAGACACACCCACACATTGCGCCCTGCCCATAGACACTGGGGCACACCCCCAGACACTGAGACACACCTACAAACACTAGGACACGCCCCCAGACACTGGGACACGCCCCCCGACACTGAGGCACGCCCACAAACACTGGGGCACGCCCCCCCAGACACTGAGACACGGCCCCCACAGACACAGGAACACTCCCACAGGGCCCATGTCTGCTGACCAGGCACAGTGGACAGTAAAGCAAATGTGATTGGTCACTCACTTGGTCTCCCCATCAGACACTGCAACTATTCGTGCCTCCTCTAGGTGGGGCCAATTCACAAAGACAGACTTCCCCAGAACCTGGGATGCCACGTCGTCACACTCCTGTGAGAGCACACACACAAACACAAACACATTTTACTCATGATTTTATTACACCACACATCAATTTCCTGCTCTTGTGTTTGGAAATTCTATGTTGTTTAAACCTAATGCTCTTATAAAACTGATATAAAATTGCTGCCTCTTCTATTATGTAGGAGAATGCTTTGCGCACAGCCATCCAGCTGAGAGGAAACTGTCCCATTCACAAACAACAACAATCCTGAGCACACAGTCTATGCAATAAAATCCAAGTATCAGGATCTGTGTGTCTGTGAGCATGTGCATAAGGTGTGTGTGTGTGTGTCCATGACTGGGAGTGTAAGATGTGTGTATGTGTGTGTGTGTGCATGACTGGGAGTGTAAGATGTGTGTGTGTGTGCAAACATTGTAGAACGCACAAATACCTTGAATGCGCGCATGTGTCTGTGTGTGCGTGTGAGTCTGAGTGTGCATACACGTGCATCTGTGCTTTCACAGAGTTCCTGTGTTTGTGTGTGTGTGCTCACCGGCTCCCCCTCCTGGTTGTGTGTGATCTCCAGGATCATGCTCTCCCCTCGGCTGCTCTGCTGAAACACCACCACCCCGGCCTTCTTCTTATGGAACTGAGGGGGGCAGAGGACAGAGAGTCAGGACATCGCACATTACATCATACGACACAACTCATCCAGCTCCGGCCGCATAGCATAACGGTTAGGGAGCTGGTCTCGTGAATCGGATGTGTCAGGTTCGATTCCCAGACACGGCCACTGTACCCACTGAGCAAGGACATTATTCTGAATTAGTTTAGACAATATGCAGCTCTATAAATGAGTAAATAATTTATAAAAATGTAAGCTGTTTAAGGGGGAAATGTGTCATGCTACAACCTGGTGGCCACAGATGGGAAATACATCAACATGAAAATCAGGGCAGAACTAATACTGACTGATATATCTGGGATAAGTGATTCACAACTAGGATTTCAGAATGTCAGTTTGCAAGGCATAAACATCATGTGACTGCTGACCAATGTGACAGTGTGACTCTAATGTGACAAGTCATGAGAGCAGCGGTGCTCTGGGTACAGAATAGTGAACGTTGGTTTGCGCGATCAGCTATGCCGGTCTCACCGTGTGCTTGATGTGTCTGAGCGTGGGGAACCCGCAGAAGTACAGTGACCCCACGTCCACCCGCCGCGCCACGCCGTCCAGCGGCACCTGCCACGCGTCCATGGGGATCGGCGTCTGCCTGGAAAAGCCAACCAATCAAACGCAGAACATTAAAACCTGCTGACCACCTGTCACTATGGTGACAGTGACACAATCACCACACAAGTATAGCATCCACTCCCCTCTGAAAACCAAGTGACAGGTGAAGTTTGGAAAGGCATCCGGTAAAGGGGACAAACGGCCTGCACAGAGCAGAGACACGCAGACAGTGTCTGCCAGATGTAATGACATGTGCCTGCATTCAAACACAAATGTGCGCAGGAGAGAAGACGAGAAGAACCGCGGGATGTGGGACGGACAGACCGACCTGACGTGGCAGTGCACGATGTTGGGAAACAGGTCCGGCAGAGGGGAGGAGTAGCTGAAGTCTAGGTCGGAGTCGTAGCGGTACAGGGCGCACTCCGTGTGTCTGTTCCTGGACTTTTCAGCCCTGCTCATCAGATCGTTATAGGGCTCCATGGCTGCCAGCAGACGAGTCTGAGAACACACACACACACACACAAATTTTATTTTATACCTACATCCTCACCACATGTCATATGTGTTAGTGCTGCTGCCTGTAAAACTGTAGCTCTGCCTCCCTCCCCACACTCTTTCCCAGCCAAGCTCCTCCCCACACTAAAGGTCAGAGGTCATTGAGGGCCATGTTGCTCCACATTGGCCAGGGTTACAGTACCTCATCGATGAAGGGGATGAGCACCACAGCCTCCCACTCCTGCTGCTTGCCGTTGAGGTCGGTTTTGAAGTCCAGGGGGTAGTACTCTATGATAGCAGAGCCCTGGGATGTCATCAGGTGCTGAGAGAGGAGCATATGTTACCTTAGGAAGGCTTTACATCCGACACACAGGGAAAGCTAATACTGTGTGTGTGAGAGAGAGTGTGTGTGTCTGTGTGTGTAAGAGTGTGTGAGTGTGTGTGTGAGAGTGTGTGGGTGTCTGTGTGTGTGTGTCTGTGAGAGTGTGTGTGTGCGTGTGTAAGCATGTCTGTGGGTGTGTGTGTGTGGGTGTGTGTGTGTATCTGTGAGAGAGTGTGTGAGTGTGTGTGTGTGTGTGTGTGTGTGTGAGAGAGAGTGTGAGTGTGTGTGAGTGTGTGTGATTGTGTGTGTGTGTGTATGTGTGTGAGAGTAAGTGTGTGTGTGTGTGCATGAGAGAGTGTAAGCGTGTGTGAGCGTGTGTGTGAGAGTGTGTGTCTGTGTGTGTGTGAGCGTGTGTAAGTCTGTGTGTGAGTGAGAGTGTAAGCGTGTGAGTGTGTGTGTGTGTGTGTGTGTGTGTGTGAGTGTGTGTGTGTGTGTGTGAGAGAGAGAGAGAGTGTGTGTGTGTGTGTGTGTGTGTGTGTACCTGGTAACACTGTGGCAGCAGATCCTTGCTGGCTGCAGGCAGGACTCCCAGCAGCTGCTGAAAGGGCATGAACGGCTTCCCCAGGTCAAAGCTAAGTTGCAGGCTGGCCAGGTTGCGCAGGTCCGACAGGAAGGGCGCGTAGTGGTACGGGTAGTACCTGGGACAGAGGGACAGGTGAGCGGCCCGGAACATGAACACGGCAGTCCTGGTCTCATGTCACCTCCGGAACACTCTGCCTACATGCTAACACTCATTTTGCATGTGTGCAAGATTCGCTATCTTGTGTAAGGGCTGTCCCAGAATTACTTGAGCCAAATTTCAGCAGGGAGGAGGAGCTATTCAGCTCTTTGATGGTCCCTCTGGTTTAAAATCAACCTCTTACAGCAGGCATTGTGCTGTTACCAGAAAGGAGCAGCCCTTTAGATTATTCCAGTGACATTTACAGTATAGTGTAACTCAAAACAAAGGCATCAAAGGAGTCATTAGCATCTGTTTTGGGATCAGGGTTACACACTCTCTCACACACACACAGACACACTCTTGCACACACTCACTCTCCAAACACACTCACTTACAAACACACTCACACATATTCGCACACATACAAACACTCACTCACACAAGAAAACATTTACAGGCATACTCTCACACACACACACATACACATACACACACACACACACACACACACACACACACACACGTTTCTCACCAGCTCCAGGACTGGACTCCATGGTAGTAATAATGTAGGATCCACTGGATTCCCTCAACATAACACAAGGCTTGACTGGCCAGGAACTCACTAAAGAGAAAAGAAGTATTAGAAAGAAGAAGTATATCACACACATTTATTTAGTGAATTAGAAGAAACTGAGAATTCAAGTCATTTCCTGAAAATAAATATGACCGATCACATGACCCTGAAACATAAATTTAAATATACATACATTTAAATGTACACACAGATGCTCACGTACAAAGTAGGTCTAGTATGGTACAGATAATCTGAGAACTCTGTATGTTGGGCAGAGGGGTTTTAGTCACAGGGGATGAGATTGATAATGAGAATAATGAGGTAACAACATTGCTACTTGTGCATGCTTCTGCTTCACGCTTTCAGCTCCGACTCACTCTGAAACAACCTCCACACCCATCTTTGTCATGTAGTACGAGCGCTTGTACTGCCGAAACTCCGTCTCAAAGATGTCATCGTCCTCGCCGTCCTCCTCGGGGCAGTCTGAGGGATGAGGGGAAACAGAAAGAGGAAGAGTGAGCGGCGGCAGTGTGAGGCAATGAGGGGAAAACAGGAAGAGGAAGTGTGAGGGGAAACAGAGGGGAAACAGGGAAGAGGGAAACAGGAAGTGTGAGGGGCGGCAGTGTGAGGCATGAGGAGAAACAGGAAGAGAAAGTGTGAGGGGAAACAGGAAGAGGAAGAGTGAGGGGTGGCAGGGAGAGGCATGAAGGGAAACAGAAAGAGGAAGAGTGAGGGGCGGCAGTGAGGGGCGGCAGTGAGGCATGAGGAGGGCAGAAAGGGGAAACAGGAAGAGGAAGAGGAAGTGAGGGGGAAACAGGAAGAGGAAGTGTGAGGGCGGCAGTGAGGGGCATGAGGGAAACAGGAAGAGGAAGTGTGAGGGGAAACAGGAAGAGGAAGAGTGAGGGGCAGTGAGGGGCATGAAGGGAAACAGGAAGAGGAAGTGTGAGGGGAAACAGGAAGAGGAAGAGTGAGGGGCGGCAGTGAGGGGCACTGCTGGGGAATATCAGGGGAAGCCGGAAGCGCTTTACCTTTTGCAGGGAGGCCGTCCGAGTCCCTTCTTCCATCCAGAGCAGCAAGACAGAGAGAATCCTGCAGGACCTGAACACAAAGGAGACACTTACAGACCACGCCCCAAATTTCCCACGATGCAAGAGCAGAGCAGGTGGCCATAAAAATTAAATGATAAACAGTCCCTTCACCCCTTCTTGACATTTATCTCCTGTCTAGAGAGCATTTGGACCTGCGTCAAGCATGGATTCCAAAACCAAATTTCTGTTTCTAACACATGACTCAAAAGCTGCTCCATGCATCGAGAAATCAGCAAAAAAACAAAAAAGAACTTCCCGATCTAAGCTTAACACTGACTAACACTGGCTTGCTTACAGTGTGAGAGATCAGAGTGCCAACTGTAGAAATTATTGCTTTTTTCCTTTTTAAAAAAATGATGATTTATCTTCAGTTTTCCCATCCTTCAGTATGCCGAATCATATTCATAATGAATTCTATCCCATCTGCAAGAAATATCCAATAAGTACATGGGGGAGGGGCTTGACAGCTGGGTTCAGGTATGCCCAGGAGTGTCCGGAGGTACACCCACCTTGTTCTTCCGCCCTTCCTGAACGCGGGCTTCCTCCGCTGCCAGACCCGCGGCCTCGTTCAGGTATTTGTTTCCCACCTTGCTCTCAAACCATTTGAGGTCCACAAACACTTCGCTGAAGTGCTCCCGGTCAAACTGGGTGAGAGAGAGAGAGAGAGAGATAGCCAAACAGAGAGATCAGTCTCTGTTACACTGGACGCATAACACACAAAACGCTTTCTGTGCGATTCTTGTTGTCGTTTTCTACCGTTTGCCGCACGACTGGCCTCACCTCTGACAGCTTGTCCAGGTACTTCTGGAAGTTGACCAGGTTCAGGTTTCCATTCTCATTGAGGTAACCTGAGGATGTGACAAAGAGATAACGCTGCTGTGGAAAGCATAACCGTTACACAGTATACACACATGAGGGGTGCGCTGCATGAAACAGTAAAGTTCTTACAGTCACCATAAAACAACCAATCAGGGGTCAAACTGCGAATCTGGGCTGGTCCTGAGCTTTGTTTATTTTCTTTATTTGTTTATAATTTCTTTAACCAGGTAGTTAAACTGAAAATTCAGTTAAATTTGTAGTGTTGAACCAAGGAATCAGTGTGGGTAGGAATTTCAAGAGATTATATAACTAGCTGGCAATGGGGTTAACAGCCCTCCTCTTTCAAAATGTGACATGAGGTTTTTAACGACCACCAAGAATCAGGACCTCATTTTATATCTCATCTGAAGGATGGCACCTCCGAGAGCACAGTGTCCCTATCCCTTCCAGAGGAAAGAGTGTGCCATATCAGCACCTCTTCCAACAGCAACATAACCTTCTGCTTTTTCTTAACTACCATCCAGGTTCTGACCAAGCCCA